AACACTGTGTATAAATTTAAGGTCAATCGGATATTAACTTTGGCCTCTAGAGCGTCCACAAGCAATTGTGGACGCCGGACGGACGGACGGACGGACGGGGGCGACGACAATATACGACCACATTTCAATGTGGGCGTATAAAAATCACCAAGGCAGCAACTTACAAGCCAAGTGATCTCAATATCTACTACAATAAGACACTTTCCTTGGCATAAGATGAGTCTTGTGTAGATATATTAAAAATTCAGCTGAGGAATCCTTAACTTTGACTTGTCTAGTGACCCGAGTCCTTGGCCAAGCGTTATTCTCTGGAATATTGATTGACCCATTGACTGTGTTCCAGGAATCGGAAGGGTTTCGGACTATGGTATTCATTTCAATGTAGTGTAGAAGGAGGTCAGACTGCCAACATTTTCCCAACCCGTTTTAAGAGCCTGTTCTATAAATTAAAGGCAACTCACTTGTTCCAAAACATAAGAAAAGAAAATGATGTAAAATCTGTGGATATTATACTGGTTTTTTTTGTGTAAAATGTGATGGAATTTGTTGAAGAAATACAAAGTTCCAATTTTGAAAGTTTTCAGGGTAGTGTAATGTTATAACGTGGTATTTTATATAAAATACCAATCGACCTGTCTGTGGTGTTGCTAGCTGTACTCTAGAGGTGGATAAACCCCGGATATTTGCCTTGTCAACAAAAACACCGTACAACAGGCGCAAAACAAATATACTTCTTTCGGCTCACCGCCAGCCGACGCTCACAAATCCACGCTAGTTAGCACGTGGATTAACAGGGATTATTATAATATTTTCGACATTGGCTCTCCATATAAGCATTAGTGTTAATCCACTAGTGAAAGTAAATATAAGTAGGGAGATATTTGCTACAAAGACGAAGTGTCCATCTTATTTACTTTGTCCAAACATCTTTTGAAATTGTATTATATCTAATTGGAAGCCGTGGTTACTACAGCCGAGTCAGTGGTAAATACATGTATTATTGATATATAAAGGCGCAAGGGACTATTTGGATTTTTTCCCCGAGAAGATGGGGAGAAGGGCAACAAGTTCACTAGACAGCGGAAATGAGCGTGGTTTAACATTTGAATAAAAAAAACGAACGATTTTCTCGGCCCTCCCTCGTAACATTCAGGTAATGGGGATAAACATCCAATGTCATTATCAATTTCTGTTGAAGAATACCCGTAATAAAAACGACCCTTGAAGAATTCCATTGGGGTTTTTTAAACAAAAAATATATCATTATGATTGTCTCTTTATTATTTAAACGAATTTTGAACTTACGATACCATAGTACGAGAAAGGACAGTTTTATCTAAAACTGCATTAATGCAATTTTATACATCTGCAAGGTGTTCCGCACATGGTGTCAGAATTTTGAAAAACTACCGTTACATTGCCTATGTTAAAAAGAAGGCTATATTAAGAATATATTTTCTAGAAAAGATGACATATGAGTAGGTAAGATGTAAAATTGTCACATGAAGATCGGGTTGATTGACAGGTCAGGTTAATTTAGAAAGAATATCTACACCACATTTACATACTACCCACGTGCTACTAGCGACAGGCGCGTGTCGCGTGCTCTACAAAATGTCAGCCAGTAAGAAGTCCCACCCTGTTCAAGTATGGCTGTAATTGAGTCTACAAAGTCAACAAACAGTCTCTTTGGTTGGTGGGTATGCCTTTTTACATCAGGATCTCAGATTTATTTTACGTACAAAAGTAAAAGATAAAATCCACGTAAAGTGATTATACTCTGAGTAAATAAGACTGACATTAAGATAGATAACTATGTTGACAGTGAAAATACCTTTCTCTCTTTCCAAACCTTTCACGTGTTCTCAAACGAAGGATTCTCTACTAAATAGCAATTAAAATCTTAACCGAATCATTGCCCCACATACAACTAAATATACGCCCTGTTTTAAAAGCTTTGAAAAGCAGACAGTGACTACACATTTCATCAAAACTTTAAAACTTTGAGAGAGAGAGAGAGAGAGAGAGAGAGAGAGAGGGAGAGAGAAATGTGGTTTAACGTCCACTCGACACAAACTAGGTCATTTCGGGACTAACATATGGTTTTAATTTTATTTCAATAATTTGCGTGCACGTTGGGGTCTTTAGCAGTGGGAGGAAACCGGAGGGCTCGGAGAAAACCCACGAGTTGGTGAAAACTTTGAAGTTTCCCCCCAGATTGCTATAGAGCAGTTTAATAATAATTGGTTAATGAGTTCATAGAAAGATACTAAATATCGGAAAACAAAACAGCACTATTTAACAATATATTATTCCAATACTATCAACAATCGACAATTCCCCGGCGTATGGCGATAGCAAATGGATGAATCAACGTAGAATTTTAATAAAGTTAGCTCCACATTCAATTCTGGCAACGACATAAGTCTGCCATGTCTGCCATGTCTTTAAAAGACAATAATAACTATTTCTAAAATAGTCAGTTGTTTCTAAAATAGTAAAATAATAGTCAGCTATTTCTAAAATAGTCAGCTATTTCTAAAATAGTCAGCTATTTCTAATATAGTCAGCTATTTCTAAAATAGTCAGCTATTTCTAAAATAGTCAGCTATTTCTTTAATAGATAATAATTATTTTTTAAAAGTCAACTATTTCTTAAATAGCCAACTGTCTTTAAATAGCTATTTCTTAGTCAGCCATTTCTTTAATAATAGGTCATTTTGTAAGTAGTCACCCATTTCTTTAATAGTCTGCCATTTCTTATATAGTTAGCTATTTCTTAAATTGGCATCCATTTTGTTTAATAGCCACCCATTTCTTTAATAGCCACTTCCTTATTAGTATTACTTGCACTGGTTAGTCGACATCGAATGCCACTTTTGACATTTAGAAATTTAAAGGCGTATAGTTGACTATTTTAAGCAATATATTCTTCTCTCTGAATTTAACCAGCCGCGAACCCAACGACTTATTATGATATCCACGCAATTTCTCACAATTCCTCTTTGTGATGTATCCTAGTAATAAGAGTAAATGCTTTAAACTTATTTTTCTTTTTATAGTTAATCAAAAGCACCCTTAAACAAGGCCTTAAGGATATTTTATTTCTGAAACTTCTGAGCTCGACGACCTTGTGATATCGAACGTCACATTTCGGTATAGGAAAATGTTTGATTGTAGTGCAACATTAATCAAAGCGGGGACCCTCGGTCGATGATCAATGTCGAAACACACACGACAATCGTAATAAGAGAATAGAATAACATTGTTAGAAATTGAGTAGTAAAAGAGTGAAAGAAACACCGTGTTTTGTAAAGATCAACAATAAGACACCATGTTTTATTTGAAGGGAAATCAATATGGTGAAAACTAGCGGAAGTTTACCAAGTTGCAGTCACAGATTATACATCCTGGCCACACTTATTGATTACCATGGTGACACGAGCATAACATTATTCAAGAACCACAACCTATCTTCTAAATGATGTTTAAAATTTGGCATCTGGATTCCAGAAACGGCCAATCCTATTTGCCTTATATACAGGCTCTCCTGCACGAATAATCTGACCGTCTACTTGGCTGGTTCTGACGATGAAAGAATTTTATTCAACATTTTTTGGCCATTTTCTAAACAAGCTTAGAGAATGCACCCACAGCATATTTAGGTATCGATGATGAATCGAATATGATAATAATTGGCAAAGTTTTAGAAATAAAGACATTGTAATGTGAACCGCTGTGTTACATGTCGAAATAAGATGTGCGCTAAGAGGAATGTATTCAGAAATTATTAGTTTAAGATGATTTTTAAACACCTAGATATTTTTGGACACAAATGGAATACAATATTTGTCAATCAGATTTGTAAAGACACACCTGTGACAGATCAAGATTTGTACTTTATGGCTAAAGACAGATTTTAGACAGCCTGTCAAAGATCTATTTATTCTAAACGGTTATAACACATCAGAGCAACATTGGAAAGAAAGACGATGCATTTGACTTAGCGCCATGATCCATGTTGACTTTTCATTCTGTACACCCCTGTAGACTGTACATGTTAGTCAGTGGTGGGGAAGGACAATTTATGACGATGGTAAAGATAGGTTTACAGACAACGAAACACACAATAGTTCAGTCGTCCGGCAGTCCTCGATATATGCTTTGACTAGAACGACGTCATAATATTTACGCAATGTATCAATAGTGAAAAAAAACCCAACCCAAAACACGCGACATTTTATTTCTACCGAGGAAGTCATTTGACATTATCAATATTTTGGAGGGAATTGTTGAAAAATGTCAATGCTGCCTTGCCAAATTTATATCCTCGATAAAATCCAAGGTCTTAAACCCTAGTCATATCAGCTCATATAAGATCAGACAAGACCTGTCTTGCCAGAAATTTATCGTCAGTCGTTTTTAGTAGCTAAGCATCTGCTGATCCTTGTAAAGCTCTTTAACTTGTACTAAACTACTTGTTTCACCACAACACCTTCACTAAGCGCCGGTGTGAAGTGCGAGGAAACTTGTCCTGGGTTAAACGCGGTCGAGGTAACTCTTATCGACCACATTTCTTAAAGATCTACTGCTGTCTATTGCAAGCAATTCTTACGGATAGCTATTTTATTTATTTCGAAACCTTTCTACAACCTCTAATTTGTTTAGCACACCAGATGTGTTCTGTCTTATGATTCGTGTATGCTCACTGTTTCTATATTAATTGATTCGATCCCAGAGGATATTTTGAGAAACCTATTTCAAATTGTTTAAACGGACAAATCTTCATTAACATTTGTGGATGCGATTAAATTTTTTGAATATTCGGCATCTCTTCAGTTTCTGATTTATATGGTGGCACCTCACAAGAGTCGATATTTCCATTTCAAAGACATATACATAAACGAAGGACTGCAAAAATATTTAGCTCCCTTTCTTCATTGCTCCCCTTTCGGCTGCATTTTTCATCTCAATGAAACGGATATCATTAACAGAAACAATCATATTTCACAATAATTTTATTCTGTTTTACGTGAGTAATGTTCAATATAGTTTATTCAAAATATACAATTGATTTATAAAAATATAATACAGATTTTAACTTCATTTAATATAATTCATTTCATCTACAATAAAAGACGTTCCATCTATTTAACGAAAATTTGGTCCAAGAGCTTTTGGATAAACCATAACATAACAATGTGATGAATAACAATGTCCTATGTACTGTCCTACTAACATGCGAACGAACTATAGATGATTGATGAAAGCGGCATGTCGATAACCAAACTGAATAGCTCCATTATCTACTTTTTAAAATTGTAATCAGTTTGAGATCATTGGGAAGTTTATGAATTAATATGCTGAGAATAATAATTCACTATCAAATTTTAGTCAGCGAAATCTCACGCCCGGAAATCTATGAGCTTATTTCTTTGACAAAATTCCCAACTGGTTTAAAAGGCCATCTAATACCATTTTGGCATCCAGTCTCTGTGTAATTATAGTTATCCCTATAGCTTACAAATTGGTGCTGTACTCTTGTACCTAACGCCAGAACTCAATTGGTCACTCAAGATTATCCAAGCCAGGATACTGGAGGAGATACAAACTCTGACTACCAAAGCAATCTAATGCAAGAATATTGTCTTACCCCCTAGAAATTCAAATGATGTTTTAAATATTTACCTTTTGTTTGACGCAATGTTGGACTCGCATGTTATTACAAGATGGTTTGTATTCTATCATCCAGTTGTCATGTACTTTATATATTACTATTTGAGACTGGTTAAACCAAGACTCACAAATATATCAAGAAACAAACACAAGAACATAACGAAACTGTTGACATAAATTGAACATGGATGGTTTTATGTTTACATTTTCTATAACCATTGAAATACAATTAGGAAACTATCTGTTACTTTAGCATCAAGCTCGCAACAAGATAAGCTTCCTAATTCTTAAGATAATATTTAGATTCATGGAAAAAATCCTAAATTGAGCTAACGAAGTTGTTTATATTGGCGTGGTTTGATAAACCGATTTTATTATTAAATGGCAGGATTTGATTTGGTATGTAGGACACGTCTGAACTTGGTTCCATGTATGGTAATAATAAACATGAAATGGTAATTACAATGATTAGATTGATCAGTTATAGCATGAATCTTATAATGACTAAGATATAACCAGCAGTGTGTCTGTCATGGAATGACGCCTCCTTTACGACTGTAACCTAAATTTAAATGTACAATAAACGTTTTAGCCAAATAAATGGGAATTAGGACACATGACACAGTAAATCACATCAGGTGACCCAAAAAATCACACCAGGTGACCCAGAAAGTCGCACCAGGTGACATAGAGAGTCACATCGGGTGACCCACTAGAAAGTCACACCAGGTGACCGATAAAGTCACATCCGGTGACCGATAAAGTCACATCCGGTGACCTAGAAAGTCACATCCGGTGACCTAGAAAGTGCACCATATAACATGGAAAGGGGTCATTAGTCCGTGGGGTTCATAAATACTATGGGTATCAAAAGAACCAGCAGGACCTACTGAAGATCTTAAAAGTTCCCTGATGATCAACGTTCAAGGTCAACAGGTCAAGAAACGATTGAACCGCCACAATAATCCTAATTGGTCTACTTTTTTGGTATTTCTTATCCACAGAAATTAGGCAAATTTTGCTATTAAACTTATATGCGGTATTGAAAGACGCCATTACATAAACTTTTAATTTTATCACGTGTATACCCTGCATCTGAGACGTAAATTCGCACAGCTAACTATTCTTGGTCTTCTGTGTATCAATTTAAGATAAACAATCGTCAAAGGAATGACAGCTATTTAGCATTTACAAAAACAATTATGTTTACAAAAGTTGGTTAACATTATTACATGAAGCACACAGAACATATTGTTTAAAATAAGGATATAATTGTTGATATAATTATATTATAACAAAGGATTATTTTGAATATTTCTTCGTTCATATCAGAGATCATATCCCGTGTTTACAGATAGTCATTGTTATATTTCAACAGAAACAGGAATGTTCGTTAAAAATGATAATCAACATAGTCAAGCACACTTCATAATATTTGCCCTATATCTTTCGCTCTGGCTTATTCATTATTGAATTTCACTAACTATATAACCAGTCACTAAAGTTGTTTTTCGATGAAGCACTATAGATGATAATAAAGCACTATGATTAACTTATATTAAATGCACACACTACAGCATATTGCTGGAGAAACCACGTAGGCTACCCTATAATAGTTATTAGTATTACGTCAAGAAGTTTCCCCCGGTTGTTTTTGGTCATTTAATACACGTAAATATTTCACACAACCTAATAATAATAACAACAACAACAATCCTAATACACTAATAACAAACTTAAATTTATATGATAATCGATTATCGATCGATTTCAACCGATAAAATAATCGATAGTCACATCCCTTTAAAAATTGTCGCTATGCACAACTTAGAGTATTCTGTTTACCCTCAACACAAAACACTGAGTGAATGAACACAAAATCACAGTCTTGAGAACGCCAATGTCTATAATTCCAATAGTTAAAGGCAGCATTTAGAACGATGAAATAAGTAATGTACAAAATAATATACAGTAAGGTTCATCTATACTTTTATTGTCTTTACCGACATTAGTATTACGCAACCATTATGTGCTATAATATCTACTATCTTACAGAATCATTGATATAATTATGCACGAAAGCGTAAATTATTTTCATAGTACTTATATAACTAAACTATGTTTCTGCTTTGCTGCCCAGATTACTGTAATATGCATATATTGACAAGCTCTTTAAAGTTTCAATCAAATGTACATTCCATTGTTCCATCTTTAGTAGCAGTCTCTAATATTTTCCGCCAGTCTTCATAAAAAGGCGCACAACGTAATTTCGGTTCCCCTAATCGTACACGTCCGGTAAACAAAAACGTACCCTCTCCGCGCTGGATACCGCATTTTCCAGGCGCAAAGATTTGTCCATAGAGCAGACTATCTGAACGGTAGCCCGGATGTATGATGTGATCATCAATTAGTGTAGTAGGAGTTCTCTTGATGCGAGTAAACTGTTCCGTAGATTGTTGAATTAGCTGATCAACTTCTACACCAATACTTGTTCTATCTTCATCGGGATGATTTAATACATCGGCAATACGACCCACAATCACTGAAATATACAAATAAAATTCATAAATAAATAATAAAATACATTTACATGGAGGAGAGGGGTGGTGCATGCATTTAAACGATTAACGAACAACCAACCATATTATGATGAAAAATATCCCAATGTATACTTAAGCTTTATGTGTCTCTTTAGTGCCCGATTTCCCCTGTTGGATTAGATCAAATTAATAACTATTTAACTTTTGAAAAGAACATTGACAGATCTATAAAATTTATAGATCTGTCAATGTTCTATTCAAAAGTTTAAGAACAATTTAAATTTATATATTATTTAATAATATTTCTCGAAAGCTTTGCCAAACGTTGGCTCAAATGCAAACATTTTCTAACATAATGGCCGCCATTGTAAAGTATGATATTTAATAGAAAGATAGAATCTCAAACCATTTACATAAATTATGTGTCATAATTTCTAGCTTCAAACAAATACTATACCGTCCTGTGTTTCAAAACTGAACTTTATTCTATAAACTTGATGTGTTATTTGAAAATTTACCACCTATATGGGAGTTAACTGATTCTTTCTTTAAACTGTCGACAGTGAAATAATTAGTGGTCAACGTGAACACAATCGAACAGATCAGGCGAAGGCTTTATCCATCTCCTCAAAGTCTGAAGAAACGACGCAAGAATCTGATTTTCTGTTTATTTCCACTTTTTAAAATACGATTATTCAGTATCTGCTTCATTTTTTCTCCGTGATATTTTTCTTGTATTAACCGAATAACAAATTCGTTTACGTAAACATTTTTATATATATAATATATATATATCGAAAAGGTGAACAGAATAGACCCACTTCAACTAAACTTTCTTTTAGTGAGAAGACAACCTGTTTCTATAGAGTTGAGAGTTTAAGCGTGACGAAATTAAATTTGCTACATCAATAGTGATACCTGACACTGTATTAGTTCTTTACATTGTAAATATTTTATATAGATCTTTTAAAGGCAGGTGTTGATGGCTTACATAGACCTATATATTTATATGCTTGTGTACCTAGTTTAATTGGTTGTCAGTCGAGTGCACAACCCAAAATGTAGCCATGTATATAATGAACGAATACCCATGTCTTAAGAACGTTTTTATGCAATTATTTAACTTTCTTATTCATTTTCAAGTATTCAGCCTCAATCCATATATATCTGTTTTGTTGGGCGTTCGTTCATCACAATATATCCACGCGTTAGATTAATGTAACTGTTGGTTTTGCAGGGGAAAAAACAACTTCATTCATTGCATAATTCTATAGAAATACTTTTATGTAAAAGATGTAAAATAGACATTTTTGTCGATATATTTCCACGATAGATTAAAGGTTTTAAAAATAAGCTACTTTAAATCTAGAGCTGTGTCGTTTCGGGCATCTATAAAGGCACATCTGGACAGAATCTAATCTATCTTTAGTCATGGTAATATTTAGATGTTCATTTATTTAATCCAATAGCAAAGTTTAATCTTTAAAAAATGGCGTTGAGGAATTTGAAAGGCATGCGTGTAGAGTTTGTTTTTTAGTGGACGTCGTGTCGTCTGGTCATCAACAAGCAGACGTGAAATATTGACACAGACGTCATTTTGGTACTGGTAGGGGGATAAAGGTAGAAGATTTGTTTAAAGACGGGGTTGAAAATCGACTTGTGATGACCAACTTGTTTGTCGGGTTTACTAAACATGTGATGGAATTTCGAGTAGAAGGTGAGAAATGAACATAGCTTTAGTTCGTTCACCACCATCGTGAGTTCATTCTACAGGTGGGCGACCATTATATAATATCATGTTACTTCCTTTCGTGCCGCTTTCTTGGTACACGAAGATGTTAACCTCTATAAACATATTGGTTAAAGTAAATAACCATGGTGTGTACCTACACACCATTGGTGGCCATTAATAGGATAATATGGCATGATAAAATGCGTATCAATCTTTTCAGCAACCGTTCAACTTTCACCCTTTGCTTGGTAAATAACTGGTCGATTTAGGCCCTACTTCAATTTCATGCATGTATAAAATGTAGACGTAGTACCCATGACTAACTAATAAAGATGGACTGCCAAGAAACGTATCATACATCCACGTAATGGTTTTCATGTGTATGTAACGAAATCATTTACAAGGCACTACTAAAAACTGACAAGGGGCGACAATCAATATGTCCATAAATGTTTGACCAGTATGGCAATGGATACTACTGGGGTGAAATCAAACTTCAGTAGTTGATTTCAGTAAATCTCGTCTGCCCTGTTTGTGATATATATTTGTGATATGTTTCGGTAATCAGTACCTTCTAAGGTGATTAAATCTCACATTCCCACTCGGTTCTAAACTTGTATGTTGTAGAGTCCGAGCGATTTCTTACCGAACCCACCCTGTTGTAAACTTAATATAAGCAAAAATACGTTAACCACTTGAGAAATGCTTTTTACGCTCCTCAAAGTTTTGGGGTATGGGTTCATCGCGTCAAGAATATCCATTCACTTTGATTCTACTCCTCCGTTCGTTTTACACCTTTCGGATAAGCTAGTGATTTGGCGACAGATAGTTTCTGGTCAGCTCTATTTATCTCGACTACCAGTGCCTGATATACTGCCAGAATGAATTTCCGGCAGTCTGTTTTTCAAAAATTTCTGGGGGAGGCCCCCAATACCCCTAGTTGAATCTTGGACTTTTATCCAGCTTTGCCCCTCCAACCGCCGGCGGCTGACGCAGCCACTGGTTGAAAGAAGCTTGAAGACCAGATTTAACGTGGATCTAATTTTAGATCATCGTCAGCCACTTTATAATGATCAAGTCAGTTTAAAGCATATAATTTACTTACCAAAATCACTCGTACAAAAAGCATTAATAAGTTCTTCTTTATCACATGGTCGACATTCTGAAGAAGAAAAGAAAGGGAAAAAAATATTATTAGAAATAAAGACTTTGATCAAACTGCTATCCGAGGCTACAGTACAGCTATTTCAGAAATGACTAAATGATCATTTGGATAGCAATAATTATGACTGGACTAGGATGTAATATCCAGATAATACAGCGATCAATGACTTGCTGAAGTCTTGGCAGAACGGTATCAGTAGATCAGTACTAATTGCTGCCCCTTTTTTAATTTCGTGATGTTTTATAAAGGATTTGACATACTTGTACCACTTGTAGTATATTTGAAGTGTTTAGAGTGCCTATCAATATAATCTACTTTAATATAAACATTCAATTATTTATATAATATTACCAGGGGCCAAATTTAATGATGTATATTTCTTATCTATTATAGTATACATACATAAACATAGGCGTAGATATACACACAACAACCTCAAATACAAAGTTATCTACCATCTATTTGAAGTAAGGGATAGCACAGAAGGGTACGAATATGATTTTTTTATTACTGAGAACGATTATACAACCCATTTACAGACGCAACGTATAGAATTTAACTTAAAGAAATGCTTCTTTGCATGTCATACATATAGGTATGATCATAAAGATACCTATATAAAACTTATATTGTATTAAATATCATCTATATAGCCCCTTTATAAGGTCGGGTAGTTTATTTCAAACAGTCTTTAAAGATTTATTGAAGTATATCAAAGTATATGTTATAGAAGAAGTGCGATAAAATATATACATGTATACCATACTTTAAAGTAGCTAAGTCTCTAACTCGATATCATCCAAAATCTTCAACATTTAAAACACGAATTATTTGTCAATTAAAACAACATTGATGCTGTGATCTTACCGGAAAAAGATGGGCTTCTGATATCCAATATTTAAGACAAAATAAATATTTTACCATTGGTACACGAATCGTGTACCATAATGCGTTTCAGCCCCAGTTCTAGCAAGAGACTCGGGGAACGAGGCTAATCATATATCACCAAACCAAACGGCGTATGTAGACTGGAATAACCAGACGCTAGGAATTTGCATTCGATTGAGACTGCTGGCTTATTTCACGGAACATTTGAAATTAGAGTAAAAACGGAAATGATTGAATGTAAATCAGTTTATATACATTCATATTACAGTATTATATGAGTTGCGACCCACTTGTGTCAATTTCTAGGTCCCAAATGTTAGCGATTTAGCTCCTTTAAACATTATTATAGATAAAAACGTAGACTAGACTACGACAACAAAGGCAACTTTATAAACGCCATATATATTATTATACTTTTTGTACCCTACATATTTTTAAAAAAAAAAACCAAACTAGACCGAATAAATCTCAAACAATTATTATCAGTAAAAAAAGAGGACTGTTTTTATTTGATAAAAGCTGTAGATTTTTTTTATTGTATACTATTTCATTGGTGGGATCATAGACAAAACAATACCACACTCAAAACACACGTGCTATTTAATGTCTTTAATAATGCTTCGTACTGAGATTACAACAAAACAATGGCCACAGATATGAAACTTATTTATGTTAAAGAAAAGGAGAGGCATTAATTCTCATCTCCATTTCTTGATATATGTAAACTATTGTTATTTTACGGGTATAAAGAATGTGTATCAGTATCGAAGAAACAAAGTTCAGTTAACATGGCTGACATAAGTATCTGAAATATTCGTTTTAGTGTCAGCAATTAAAACTCTTGACACGTAACGGTTTGTTTTCCATCAAAGACGAAGAGACGGTAGCACGTGTGTACTTTCCCGGTGCCTTGTCATTTTAGACGATTCTGCGTGTGGGTTTTTTTTTCGTTCCGTTATTTTAGAAGTTCCTGGTATTTCTCGACATCATTCTTGAACAATTGTATACGACTAATGCCACCATGAAAAAAGAGCAAGTTAATTGATAAAAGTAGTAAATATGTGAACCCCGGAAGTCTTCGGAGATTTGACACCAATAACGGAATGAGGGAATGGTTAGATAATTGAAGCCAATTTAAAGAGAAATAAAAAGAAAACAAATGGGCTAATGACATGTTGATTTGAGAGCGGGGATAAAATGTATATATAGTCACTGAGAGCTTTCTATTCGTCGTCATATTCATCTAAAAAAAGCTTCACAAAAGCAACTTTTAAAACATTTACAACAAAACATCTTAAAGCGGTTTGAGTTTATAAATTATAACTTTGGGAGTCATGGCTTTAATATCAATAATGGAATCTTTTATTAAAGTTCGCGTGGATTTCTTGAATATAGTCCATAAACATACATGTATGTTAAATTAGTTGGAGCGAATAATTTCGTAAATATAATCTACAGTTTGGTCCCAGCGGACACGTCGCATTGCAACTGACCTGAAATCTGAGAGCCACGTCCTCGAGGTATATCAATAAGATTTAGAATAGATTAACATAATAGTCAACAGCCAGGGAGTTTTTGTTGCGAGTATTTCGTTACCCTCCCTTTCATGATGACAATGGCAATCGTTTGACCCTGTAAATACCCGCGAACAACACATTTGAAACCTTCCCTCGACCCGCTTTCGATCATTGTAAATATCAACTGTTTGACCAATTGTCCAGATCGGGGGTATTAGTAAAAATATAAATGAAATGGACGTGGTTAGTTATTCTTGTAAGATTATACCGGTATTGTTTGGGCGTTGTAGCAACATCTCGATACAACCTGTGTATTGTTGGTCATCAATGGACGAGGACAACTTACTGTAACTGACCACTAGGTCTATAGAGTAGCCAGTGGCTATTTCTGTTGAAACTTGAGAATATTTTCTTATGGTGGTCAGAAAAGACACCATGTCTGGCAAGATGGAGACGCAGAGATAGAAACAGAAGAGTGTGAATCAATTTATCGGTAACTTCAGTTTCTTAAATCTAAGCTTAAACTCCATTTAGATATACAAGTAGTAACGGGTGTCTTGCACAAGATAGAGTATAAATAGTATAATATAAACCAGCTGATAAAGTTTCGTTTATTTGGAAGGCTCATCTTATTGTTGAGAACAATATCACAAATATGTCTATCATCTTTAGTTTGTTATGGCCCAACCGTGTTATTAACGCATTTATTTCCCCGTGTCAGCGAAACACTGCCAAACATTTATCAGTAAAACTATGCTAATAACTTCTGAGAAATTATTCTATGAACGCGCTTATTGTTGGGTGTGTATATATTTCGAGTCAAATTTTCTCATTTTTTCATTAGTTATTTGAGACAAAGATATACAACATGAAGACAAAACATATACATGTAAATATATCATAGGCAGGTAGGTAAATATATATCTACACTATTTAGAAGAAAAGCTCAGGTAGACGCAATTTAATGTACATTAAAGAATCCAGGCGTGTCGACACTGTAATATACTTTAACATCCCAAATATACACACTTAACGGTCACGTTCACTTGAAAGATTAACTTAGCATCCCTAGATTATAGTTTGTCGGTAGGTATATTTCAAACTGTATATTTTATACGACGAAAACCATATTAGAAAGCAATCTATTAACTGACCGTGACAATTGGCTGGCTTTGTCCACTATATAGATATAAATTACAAGCTTAACTCCGGTAATGTGTGATATATCAAAGGGACATGATAGTATATGGGATATCATAAATAATATGTTTATAATATATGTTTTAGCCACGAGGACGCCTGTCAGATTTACCTATCGTCATGTTATTTATTGTTCGGGTGAATTAACTTTTAAAATATACTATTATCACAGTTGAAAGTCACGCTTCAAGGATGTTTATACACGGAGATAAATTATTCCAAAAAGAAGTCAGCACCTCGGTTTATTCACATGTAGTAAGGGTTTTATCGGTTTCTGATCGATACACAAGAAAGTGTCCAATGTGCGTTTGAAGGTTATATAGGTCCATTACTATTTATTAATCACATAAACATTGCATTGTTGGCATTCCTTTAAAAGCAAGACAAACCAATAGACAATAATTTAAGAAACATACACATTTAATCCTAACCAGCAGACAAAAAAAGGTCCAACGGACCAATTCGGCAAAAATGGCCAATTCCATGTGGACAAGCCATATTGGAGATTTTTCATAATGGGAGTGGGGTAGGTGTTACGGAAAGGGTCCGTTGTTGCCCCTTTCGAATCTATTTGAAATTCGCAGTTAGCTGGAGATATTAGTTTAGAATATGAAACGTTACTGATCTGGGCGAAAACGACCATGTTAGAGAACAAGAAATCAAATATGGTTTCATTTACCCGATTATTTATAGAAGTTGTTTTTCTTGCATTCGTTTGCTTGCATTCGTTTGCAGCCCCGACTCTATTCTATTAGCAAATTAATTTGCAATTTAAATAAGCCCTAACTATCTTTCATCTTTAATTTTTTCATTACCTATGCCACGATACTGGTTTACAAGTCCAACGTTTCACTTAGTCATAATAAAAGTATCCTGTATTAAGGTGGTGAAGATGTTGTGTTTCAATGAGTAACACAGATAACAGATAAGCTTATCTGAAACCAGGTGCTGTTCAGAGGAGGATTGCAAAAATATAAATTGAATAAGTTAAGATACAAAACAGTTATTCGGTGCAGCTCACGTTAATGTTATCCTTATTGAACTAAATCCTATGTTTCGTTGCACACGAACACAAGATTTCTTCGTGTAAACAAGCAAAGATATGGGGTTATCGTTAGATCCTGCGTGTACGCCTTGGTTAATTAAACATACTAATTACTTTACCTGTTAAGTAAATAGTGCGATTAATTGGAGAATCAGTCCCATGCACCTGTCGTGGGGAAAATGCAACCGAGTGAGACCATCATTTTAAAGCACCCCCTGCAAGTTTATTGAGAGTCACTCGAGTAGAAGATCAACGCTAGAAGTACAATTTTAAGATCAAAACAGATGAATGGGTATATTAAATAAGTTGGTGTTACACTTTGTTTTAAATTTGGTAGAATCTCACAACCTTCAAGCATAAAATCGCATTATCCACGCTATATACCAGGAGAACTCTATACATAAAATTTCTCATCTTGATATATAATACTTTAACAGGTGGAAAGGCTGAGAATAATTTCATACAAAAACGTTAAGCAAAATCATTATTGTAAACCAGATTTGTGTAAACCTGCCTCGGCGAACGTTCAATGCAATTATATAAAAATTTATGTGTGCGTTATTCTTGTGTGTACTTTGTGAAGAGTTGTGAGGAGTTAAAAACTTTAACGAATTAAAGGGATGCATCGGTACTTCAGATGTATTCAGATGCATGTTTAAAGCCTGTTCATATAAACTTCTAAAATAATCTTTATTAAGATTAATAATGTAATCCAGATATATTCCAGTCCCCTTTTTTTGTTTTCATATTTATATTTACACTACAGTAAAGGTCTGATCATTTGTGTTCTAACGGCCTGACTTGATTTCTTTGGTAATAAAGGTTCTAGCCAATCTAGCCAATAAAGTTGGCTCAAATCAGGCGCAAAGGCAACAATATAACCGATAAAGAAGTAGTTAGATCTTATGTATTAAGAACAAATTGAAATGAAATAAATATACTTTTTAAACAGATTGCCATAGACTTACCTTCCATTGGATCTTCTTGCAACGGGCTGTATTTTTCTATATCATAAAGAACGGTAACTTTAGGTAAACCCGTACTATTCGTAGTTGTTTCTGTTTCTACATATAATAACACTGGTTGCTTGTCCGTTGATCGGACACAATATTCACGGCTACGATCTATCACAGTAAACCAGGGTTCTAATTTCACTTCATTTTCTAAATATTTAGTCCGATGGTTTTTATTTATTGTATTTTGTACCTCCTTTGAAACTTTTGTTTTTGTATTATCACTTTTAACTATCACACACGCTCGAAAATCTGTAAAAATACCCGGATCCAGTTCCAGTCGCATGGCACCATGGGGATTCATCCATGTTATACGTCCTTCCGAACAACGAGGTTTTACAATTGCGTTACCTTTCTCGTCATCTGTGTTCTCACTGTAAAATTAAACAAAATATAAAACTTTAATAAACAAGAAAATACCACAGAATAAAGAATTTTATTCGATGTATTGGTTATTGATGGCACTATATTTCTGGAGTCATGATTACGACCGTTATAAATTCTCACCCTTATAATCTGATAGTACTTTGTATTACCATTGCTTCGGGAATATGACTATTTGCTTTGACTGTGCCTATCCAAAAGAACAACATTTTTGGATATCGGGATGTGGCAAATGGTGTATATGAGGAAAACAAAGGACAAACCAGAATGTATTTGGAGAGATCTCATTAGCGAATTCTGATTTTCAACGCATTTCGAATGATTTGTTTAAAGGAATGCTATCAGAATATCAATAAATGGAGCATATATGAAAGCAAACAAGCCAACAGTGAGGCTGATGTCCCCCGCCGAAATTGCAAAATAAATAGATGACACATATTAATTAATCGCACATTTATTTTTTTCACTAAGTTTCATCACTCTCTATCAGATAGAATCAAGATTATCTTGTCCCAAACCATCGACAAATGAAATCGATTAGCTCTGCTTAGCTTCAGCTCGAAATGTTAATTATTGAACTCAGTCAAGACATTCACCTAATGAACATCTACATATACATCAAGTTTAAACATTCACCTAATAGACACCTATGCCAAGTTTGAACATTCTACCTCAATTAGAAGGAGAGTTATTGTGTTCCAAAGTTTCTACCAATCAAATTGCTTATCACTCTGCTTACCCTCAGCAAAAAATGTTCATTATCGAACTTAGTTAAGGTATTCATATAATAAATCTATACACCAAGTTTCATCAATCTCACTTAATTAGAACTAAAGTTATCGTGTCCCAAAGCATCAACCAATCAAATTGCTTATCTCTGCTTACCCTAAGCGGAAAATGCTCATCTTCGAACTCCATCAAGGCATTGACCTAATCAACACATACACCAAGTTTGAACATTCTAGCTCAATTAGGAAGAGAGGTATCGTGCCCCAAAGTATCAACCAATCAAATTGCTTATCTCTGCTTACCCTAAGCGGAAAATGCTCATCTTCGAACTCCATCAAGGCATTGACCTAATAAACACATACACCAAGTTTGAACATTCTAGCTCAATTAAAAGTTATCGTGTCCCAAAGCATCAACCAATCAAATTGCTTATCTCTGCTTACCCTAAGCGGAAAATGCTCATCTTCGAACTCCATCAAGGCATTGACCTAATCAAAACATACACCAAGTTTGAACATTCTAGCCCAATTAGGAAGAGAGTTATCGTGTCCCAAAGCATCAACCAATCAAATTGCTTATCTCTGCTTACCCTAAGCGGAAAATGCTCATCTTCGAACTCCATCAAGGCATTGACCTAATAAACACATACACCAAGTTTGAACATTCTAGCTCAATTAGGAAGAGAGTTATTGTGTCCCAAAAAGTGTGACGGACAGACAGACGGACAGACAGACAGACGGACGAACCCATTTTAATAGTCCCCTGCTTTCTTCGAAAGGCGGGGGACAAAAATCTTTCGGAATGCGTTTGGAGATCTCTCGAATGGTTTGTGACAGTTATGAAATTATATAATACGTATAGTTTACTTATCCCATATTAATGTAAAATATGTGAAATCAAAAAGATGCCCACGTAACATGAAGATTATACACGCATTCTGTTAGTATAAAGAATCGCAATCTTGTTGCTAGGATAGACATGGTGAACTTGTGTAACGATGTAATACAGATGATGATTAACATATATTGAAACCTGTCATCGTCATTTCTAGGGAATCTTATCAGCTTAGATGTCAGGGGTGTAACCTTTTCCTAAGGTTTGCCCAGGCCCGGGTTTGTTATACCCAACTTGATCTTTTACTTCCAAAATTCAACCCATTTTTTTTAGCCAGGTCCCCAGCATAGACACCTGGTTACCCCTCAATAGATATAAGATTAACTTTTGTCAGGCCGTATTCTAGGTTTGTATTGGCTATTGTAGAATTGTCTTTGAGCTGGGATTTTAAGCGTGATATCAACTTTTATTATATCATATAGCTTAGTGTCACATTTCTTACAGCCTTTCAAGGGAGTAATAATAATACCCAATATTTAGACCAGAGTTGCTGGGGGTTATTTTGCATTATGTACATGATCAGATGTGTAGTACACCCAAATAAAATGGCTAGATCAACTTAATTTTATCAAAATTCAAAAGTTAAGATATATAGGCTTTAAGGAGCTGAATATATAACTTGTTCGTAGAAACTCCTCGTTTCCAGTCGTTACGTTTGCAACGATATATATAATTCAAATGATTTCACCAGATTGCTATCGAGTGATGATTGTCGTTACAAAAGTATTTAACATTTTTTGAAGGTGTAAGCTCATATTTTTGGTTTATCTACGAATAAAAAAGAGTAGCGATGCAAAATTTTTGAATATAAAACAGGTGAAAATATGCAGATTTGGAAATAGTTTTGCCTTTTGATCTTGTGCAACGACATAAGCTATTTTCGCAACACAAAGCGTTTAAGCTTTTCTACGTAAAACACAAATATCTTGAAAATGAAGGAAAGTTGTAGTTTCAAGTTTACGATATAAGTTTATTTTAGAAGAAATATCTCTAGAAGCCAGGAATACAGGCAAACAAGTGACAGACGCTTTCCTGATAAACAAACATAGCAAGACGAGAAATCGAAGAACAAACATCAACTGGCAATGATTTGTGTACAAAAGGGGATATTATCAAGTGCATGTTGTTAAAGATCACTTCTTATTTTCTATATTGTGTAAAATATTATTGTTTTGTTTTGTGTCATACATTTGTTTATATCGCTGTTGTTTTTGTAAGTTTTATCAATTCTTGTCGGTTATATCGTAAGCATATGACCCAATATTTCTTTTTACAATGACTTGACGATTTTTACAAAGATCGATTCTTAAATTTTTGAGACCAAGAATCGATTTCTTACAACCGTTTCCTTCGCTTCTACCTTTATTCTGTGCCGTAACATTTTATTCAAACGTCTGGGTTTGGAATCCTTATTTATTTTTTAAGAATAAAAATATCCATTCTTGACATGTTTTTCTGCATTTACACTATTCTTGACCTCTACTTTTATTTGCATGATAGGAATAATTTTGTTTTCAAAACTCTTCAGTGTCGATCTTAAAGCTATTTTATGTCGAATATCGCAAAGCAAAGCACCATGACATATCGTATGTCTTATGTAATTAAAATTCAGTTCGATTCTTTACAGATTCGTCGCATACCAGATATTTGACCGATTTCATTTAAGATCTCCACATTTTGACACGTAACTTACGAAAAACGACATAAAATATCGATCGACAAGAGAGATCAGGTGCGACAACAAAGGTTCATTTTTTTAAAAGCGAAGTTGCACCTAGAAAGTCATGGTGCACAGTTAAAGGCACATGTGTTCGTAAGGAAGATAGAATTTCCCCACTCCCCTCGCAGACTAACCATAAAAAAGACTAAGCCACTCCCACCCCTACAAAGGCCCCGTTAAAGGTCTACCGAGAAAATATACAGATCAAAATGGTTTATCGCTAAACCAGTGGTTCTCACCATTTTTTTGCCAACTGCACACCTTAGAACACATGAAAAAATAGCGGCACACCTGGCTAAATATATGAAAAATATTTGAATTTTGCAAAATAAAAACATTTACAACCGTGACAGAGACTAGTCATAGACACATAGAATGACTCAAACTAAATAAAGAAAAACACAGCTATGAACTTATCAGTAGACACCAGTGAATACTCAATTTCCCAATTGAGTATTCACTGGTGTCTACTGATAAGTTCATAGCTGGGATCACGTGGTTTTTCACATTTTCTTAGTGTGCCGTTCAAAATTTCTCGGCACACTGGTTGAGAAACACTGCGCAAAACTAACGTCAACCAAGTAGAGATAAAAAAAAAATTGAGTAATAAAGTTTTATAACCCTTGACCTTTATTTCTTAAATCTTGATTACCATTCGTTCTTAGTCAAAATCGCTCAAACTTAAATTGTCTCCACTCGAGTTTGAGTGATCGAGACTACATTTGTTCAATGTTTGCTCACTGCTAAAGACCCCTACGCGCAAGCGAATTATTGAAATAAAATTAAACCATATGTTAGTCCCGAAATGACCTAGTTTGTGTCGAGTGGACGTTAAACCCCATTTCTCTCTCTCTCTCAATGTTTGCTATGGCAACCTCTTTTCTTAAAGGTTCAAACATATTTATAAAGCAACAAATCATAATTTTAATGGATACGCTTTCTATGGGAAATGAATAACACAGCCACTTTTGGTCAACCGCTGTAAAATGGGTGTAGCGATGTTAACAAACCTCTCTCCAACAACATCACACTGTGGTCAATGAGAAATTAGCCGATAAGTCAATATTTAAACGTTGGCGGTAGAGAGTATATCTATCCCGCGTGCACAGGAAAAGGTGGGGGTCACGAGTAAACACGTTGTGATCACTAGAATTTACAATACGGTGTCATATTGAGCCTGGGGGAGATGGGGATACCATGGTATGTGGTCTGTTTGTTAGTTTAGAGAACACTACCGGTCTCTTCTTGGGAACCTCTTCTGGTTTATTCCGTTTATTGTCAACGATCAATATGTTCTACATATAACTATAATTTTTACAAGATGTTGGTCATGGGAAATATACCTTGGTACTATCTTCATTACTTCCACATGAACTGTTTTGTGATAAAGACATCTTTTAGAAAAACAATTATGAGGGACGCATTATGTACGATTTAGATAAAGAGCTGGCCGTTCTTGCTATAATTGTTCCAAAATAGATGATTCAAAATTAATATATTGCAAATTTCAATCAAATTACCTTATTCTGAGCGACGTTACCACTGTTTGAAGTTTTGACTTAGATTGTTTATTATCGCAGCAACGTTATTTGTTAATCGAGTCTCCATTTTAAAATTAAATCATTAAATGGCGATCGTATTTTAATCTGTTTACATCTGCGCCATCCGATGGTCTAGAGAGTAACTTGTCATGTGAATAAATAATAATTTACATATCACTCGAAGCCAAAGTAAAACCCTGTAATATGCAGCTTTATTTCTTATATAACGCATCTTTAATCATGTGAACCTTGCAAAAGTTGTATCAGGTGTTCTAGAAAGTGTACACATACCGACATTGTGCACTAGAGTGGTCACTTCTTTAGTGTATGTAGTAGTAGTATGAATCTTAAAATTCTTCATAAATCATAAAATCTAAGGCAATCCATTTGTTATATCAATAATTATGTGTCAACATATTATAAAGGACAGCAAAATGATATGGTCATATCTAGATAATAAGAATACCTTTATATTCTAATATATTCAACAATAACCCGTTATGGTTTTTCGTACTTAATGAGCGTGGCAACGCGGTCTGTCAGTCTGTCTTTAATAAAAAGAACCAACGCTATTAAATACATCAAATTCAATAAGACCGTTTAATCCATTGTGAAATGTAACGGTTAGCCGTTATGTGTAAACAATATCATTTATCATAAAAGTTGGAGCTAGCTCCACACACAATGTGGCGGTATTCAGTTACTTCAACCAAATGACGCTAAATATTCATTAAACTCCATTCACTATATTGCCAAAACCTCCTCTCTCCCCTTACCTGACAATTATTCAACAATCCAACCCCTGAAGATTGTCGTACATTCAATTCTCAATTCAGACTGAGTTATTGGATCAGAGTTTTGATCAGAATTTTGAATGCAGGTTGCGACTGGAATTATATATTATGCACAATATGCTTTGTCGTTTCACCTATATACAGGTATGATCTTGCGGTATAAAACGAAATATAACCGAATTAACCGTGTTTAATGGTTGTCTAAAGAAAGGACGAATTGTTAACATAGGTCTACTCCAACACGCACTATCACTCAGACAAGGTTCAACAAATATTCAACCCTTCAATAGCAGCATTGTTTGTAAAGTGGCTTACAAATTATCTTGAAACATAAAAAAAACGCGAGGTCGGTTTTAAGAAAATATTCGTGTGGCGCTTGATAGTCAAATTATATACATGTTGACGACTGTGCTCAACTACAAATTTAACAAAAGCATTTTGTTGTGGATTCTAAATTTTGGTTATGTGCGTTTAGTTTTAATCTAATTTACTTCACATTCTGAACTCATGTTCAGATTGGTCTGAATTAAAACATTTTAAAAAGCTCTGTAAATAATTATCGGAAAACAGGATGAATAACATTCGTTGAAAGAAATGAAATGAAATGGGGTTAATCGTTCCACTGTTCTGCTCCGACTGGGCTCATTTGTTGAAAGACGAATGATATATCGTATAATTATATACTTTAATATACATTTATGTTAGTTTACCTGAAGTGTAAATGTGACGGATTGAAACATGTTTCTTGAAGTTTTACATTAAAATAGATTTATATTAAATTACTTTACGATATTCTCCTGTCAAATTCCAACATCATGATTCATTATGTAATATGACATTGTCGTTTGCACGACACCAGACAAGGATACGACATATCTCCCTGCACATTCACTTCAAGTGTCATTGACGTACGTGACAACTATACAAAATTGTAATTAAAGATGCATCGTCCAACGATATTTAAAAAATCTGCTTTAAGGATTTTCAAGAAAGGCTTTCCTGTGCGGGGTACGTACAATGATGGCAAGCATTTTGAGACAAAAATGGTTTAGTTCAAATATTTTGATTAACATAAAACTTACCTCAAAGTGCAGTCACACTGATCACACACTGTAACAGCCTGCGTCCAGGTAGCCCCTAAAACACACATCAGGGTGTATAAAATTCGAGATATATCCATTTTATCCAGGTAAAAGGTATGTATTATAATCCATAATGATGAATAAAAAATGACTGAAGTTCGACAGCAAGTTGACTGTTACACATCATCAGCAAATCTACATCGTCCTTCTACAAAGCAAATACAGATTACTTTATAAACTGCGAACTTCACATAGTTTTAAAAATAGCCGACATACTTGTATTTGAAACCATATGTTTATTATATTGTTATATTCAAAATAACAATTGTGATATGTTTAGTCAGCAGTATTTAAACACATTTATATGACAAAAATATAAATAGTGTTTTCACGTTCAGTTTTCAAAAACTGCAGTAACAGATTACACTGCCACTAAAACATAACGTATTTACAAATGCCAGATATTTCTTTGCCTCTAAACCTTTTTTTTTTCAACTAAGTAATCTTTTCTCGAATTAAAGTCCCGGAATACGACAGCGCCAGACTCCAAAAATAGACTCCGAATGACACGAAATCAAACAGCTACAGCCGACTCGTTCAGCTCAACTCAAGACTTTTTTCCTTCTTTTCAGCAACCTGTTGATTTACATAAAAGCTTGCACGTTCAGAATCTAACTGCTGAATTCACAAAACACCTTACGTCACACATGCCATTCCCTTCCAGTGCCTTGTATTTTATTATCAATATATATAATTAATATCCGTTATATTCACAAACAAGCTCCACGCGTCAATTCATACCGTCGATAAGAGACACACTGGAGTGTAGACGATCATATAGCCCACTTTTTACTGCCAAGACTTAACGGGACGAAACGATTGGTCGCTTTGCTGAACCAGCCACGTGCGGACAAATAGTCAAGATGTGATTTACTCTAGTTAAAGGGGCCAAGAGGAAATTTACCGTTAACATCAGTTGCAACATGCATCTTTTGTGCTGTTGAAGTTTTAAAACTTGATCATACGAAATAAATATTTGACAACATATTTACGGCTAATTGTTGTAGAGAAAGCAACTGGAAATAGTCATCAAGAAAATGGGAAATGGAGCTAATAAATTGGCTTCTATTTTGACATGAACATTTATTAATTACCAGCGATAATATCATTAATGCATTTGAATTGGTGAAAATATCATTTAACATGATAATCGTCTCATTTATAGAAGTTTCGTTTTCTACTAAATATGCGACGTGATTGACAATCTGTCTTAATTAATACTCACTTCAACACGATTTTACACTTACATACACACTGTGTGTGATTTTTTTGCAATTGAAATAACAAAATAAGACGTTATGACTTTATTGTATAAAAAATAGGCTAATGGATCCGAAAGAAAAGGCGCCTATAACTTACAACTCCCAATGTTTCTTTTTCTAGTAAACTCAATTCGTGAGATGCGAAAAAACAAAATGCAAAGAGCAATTGCTTTCGTTGAAAGGCCTCTTTCAATCGAGTAATGTTCACTACTGTACTAGTTTAGCTTCATTAAACTAAACTGTTAAAAATGAGTCAGTTTATATACGCCGACTTTGAACTGTCCTCGTTATGGCTATCGTAACCTAGCCTGTCTTCCTGCTTGTTGACGTTCATTCAATTGGCTTGAAATATACCCAAACTGTTTATGCTTTGATGACGAAGAAGCCTATCGATTTCCGCTAATTTAATTATTTGCAGATTTATTGCCCTTTGCTCATTTTAAACATTTGGGGGCTAAAGGTATATCATTTGAATTGGTACATCGTGTTTCTGCTTACGAGATACAAAGCTAATAAATCGAACAGCTTAAGTTATCATATGATTACTGATACATGTTTTGTTTATGTTAGCTCTAGAAAGAACTAGAATCCTTTTAAAGTTTAATTATGTCTGGTAATTACTTCATAGGTTGTTAGCCAGTGCCCGGTTTAGTCTTTTGGCTGCTCCCCTACCTGCAAAAGAATACAAACGTAACAACCTTTATGGGCTATATGAACGTCTGAGCTGTTGTGGGCGTGTGTTACGTCGACTGGCAACTTATCTTTTGGATAATAATAATATTAATGTCTCGCTTTCTTTATATTCCTTTTTGATTAAATTTTTCTACTTAATAAACACTTTTATTGTATGGCTCATGTGGATAATTAGTACAAATTTTGGACAAGGGTCTTGGCCTCACGTCTTTTTTAAAAAAATTATTTAAAATCAAAATTTAAAACAGTTTTTGGTCTGTGGTAAAATAAATTGTGATAGAGAGGAAGTATTGCTATCATTTTCGATTACTCCTGTTAAAAACAAGCAATTGAATTCCACTTGATACGGACAAGGTTTTTTAAAAGCCCAGGTCAAAACGCAACGCCGGTCTATTATTCGATGTTCAAAACTTGATAAACGTGAACATGATGACCTAATTCCTTTCTAATCTACCTTTGCTTTCACCTTAGTTACCTACGAAGTTGTAGCAAGCCGTGACCATTCTTCGTTTTAATTAGATTGAATCTACTTTAGGTCATACCTATATAATTTAAATAGTGTTATTTACTGTATGTTCTATCATACTGTTCATTTAATATAATATGATAAAGAAAGGTGATCACAAAGAATGTGACACGATAAATCTAAATGAAAGGGTATTCTACACTATATGGTGTTTGTTCAGTGGTTAAATCTTTCTAATCTCTGCATTGAACAAACACATGAAAGGAAATATATAATATAGTGTAAACCGGATGAAACCTTTGAGCTCTTAAACCGATTTAAGGAGCATCTCTACGATGATCAAGAATAATTGTGATGTCAAATACTGAAATACAAAGGTGCAATAAAAATTGATTAACTAATCCACAAATGGGAAAGCATATACTGCCGAAATCAAAACTAGAATTGATAAAATATTTAGGATGTGAAATGACCATATAAACAATTAATTCCTCTCCACCCACTACTGCCCTTGATTAGGACATGGTTATACATGTCGTATTACTATATATCGAAATCGCGGGATCCCACAGGATTAGGAGGATTTTAAAAGTTTTGTTCTAATATATTGAAGACTTTAGACCAAAATCGTCTGTGGAGGATGCCGAATGTTCCCAAAATTTTAGTCCATCACATCTTTGTAAATACTTAACGGGTTTAACCATTCTTAGACTGATATTCTATACTCAAATGCTGATCAGAGATTTTAAGAATTATTTAAATTTCTAACTTACCATTCAAGACAACAGATGCAACACTCCGGGAATTGCAGTTTCTCTGATCCCTGCCACAAGAGTTGTTAGTTATGGCAAACGTGGTTACCTCCCTTCTAACTAAGGGAAAAATTATCTATTTTACGTGTATCGATTCATTTCAGTTTAATTCTAACGAATACTTTATGGCATTGGATTTGCTTTTATTTATTATATTCCGTGTAATGCAAGAAATAGAAACACGACAATATACGTGCAGAAAGCATTTGCTGGGTATCTGTAACAAGGGAGGTAATTACAATCAGCTTGTAGGAATCAGACCAAAAATGTTAGTAAATTTCTGTTCAGAGACTCTGACAGATACACGAGAGAAAATATAGTTCCAAAAAGATGCCAACTAATAACAATATAACTAATTTAATGAACCGGTATAATGTAACTCTCTCACAGAAATATCGACCAGTTACAGCAATCGTTTTGGTAAATTGACTAGTAAATAGAATGGACACCTTTCATCATTCTCCAGAAACATTTAGCAGTGATGGAACTGTGGTAAATTAATATCGTCTAGAGGCTGCTTACTAACATCTACACATAGCAAATAAGTGTCTTCTAGAGCCTGGTTAGAAACATTTAGATCCATCAAATTAGTGTCTTCAAGAGACTGCTTACACACATCTAGACACATCAAATTAGTGTCTTCTAGAGACTGCTTACAAATATCTAGAGACATCAAATTTGGATTTCTAAAGACTGCTTACAGATATCTAGATACACCAAATCAACACAGAACAAATTGTTGGGATTTTAGATATATTTATTGTAATTGATTGAATTAAACAAAGTATGTGTTTAAAGTATAATATAATATAACAAATATAACCTTATTAATAAATGTGTTCAGTTATTCAAGTTTTTATAATATTGTTTCCTAGAACCATAAACTGGAAATAAATACTAGACCTATCGATAGGCGAGATAAAGCTTAAAAATGAATTTGCGAAAGAACAACCTACTGAGTGCTTCGAATAGGTTTGTCAAGAATGACCCAATTACTCTATCCAGTTACATGGACGATGTTCGCCTTAAATTGCATGCAAAATCTTACACAAATCTACAGAATTATCCATAAAATATCAAAATTTTAACTTTCAATTACTAGTCGTGCATATTTATAGTACATGCATTTTCAATAACAAGGTAAGTCTACAATTATTTTGAATACAAATTATTAAAAAAAATCGTTTATTTTTTCCGTGACATTTATAATGCCCAATTAAAGATGCATTATGTAAGAGCTAAATCTGACTTATGCATATCTTCGTTATATAAATCATTAATTAGACATTTATTAACATGACCAGCCCATAATCAACGCTGTAGAACATCGGATGGTTTTGATTTTCAACGGATTTAATTTAAAAAATGGATAACCGAGACTTTGTTTATTATCGTAACAACGGTAGCAATGACAACGGAGACCAATCACACTGTTCTTCTGACGGAAATAACTTCGCCCAGAATAAAGTAATTTGACTGAAATTTTCAACATGTTTCCCTTTCATTATCTATTTTTTTTTATAGCGAGACTGTCGGCTCTTACAAAATGCATCTTTAAGTTATCGGTTCTTCAAAAATCTGATCTGATACGTTGATTGCAGACCTTTGTTTTACAAACTATCAGATATTTATTTTACTAATAATACGTCATCTCCGCAATTCCTATTGTAATAATTTCATTTTATAATCGTTATATAATAAATATACCTAATCTGTCCACAGGTCCATCGATATTTTATGTGCAAACACCGAGGCTGATATCTCCCAACTTTACTCTACATATTTTTATAGTACTACAAAACCAACATTCCTAAAGTGTTTTATTGATTAAAGTTATGTGATAAGTCGGGGATGTAGAATTTGCATCAGTGGTTGAGAAACTGTTGTAAATCTGGATGAAAACAGACCTATCTATCGAGCACTTTGGAATGGGATGGGGGGTTGTTGACGCCACTCGACACTATACGTAAGTAATTTTGAGACTTAACACAGTAATTTGTATTTCTATGGTTGTTTATGTAATGACGTGAATCGTGCACATTATAACGTCTTCTTTTCTCGATTTTCGTTCCACAAAAATGGATACTTGCCAATCCGACACACCACCCTGACAAGTAAGAAGCCAAACCGTGATTATGGGCTGAAGCCTAGTTTCCTTATCATGCAACCACAGCGTCCTCCGGAGATTTTGGTTGCCGACCTGGCCACTTCATTTGAACAATCAAAATAAACATCACTTCTCTAACATTCTTATTGAATGTTATAGAAATAATCAATCGTTCTTGCAAGGAACAGTATCTAGTTGTTCGCTGTTGGGGGAAAAATTCCTTCACAGTACATGGCATATCGTATGCCCGTCTTCATTTGCCCAGTCATTTGCCCCTCTGGAGTAAAGCTGCACAGCGCCATCAACGAAACGTTTCAAACAGTCCTGTCAAAAATCGGATTTATGCATACGTATATTTGGACATTAAAAAACTTTGTCTTACCTGTTTGCGTAATCGATAGTAAAAATAGGCCTTTGAAAACAAATCTGCCAAGTCAGTCAAATCAATGTTATTTAGAACTTAGTGTAAATAACTTTGTGATAAAATTGATTCAGGAGAAGAAATGTAAAACAGAAGCGGGAGTATGTACATGACATTAGCCTACATAGGCCATGATAAGATAATTTGACAAGGTGAGAAAAGCAACAGGTGAGTATATAAATAATAATAATAACAATTCAAAATTTCATAACAAGCAATATTTACAATAACATTTGTTTTTGTAAGGCATTTATAATATATAAAAATAATTGATAAAATGGATTTATCCAACAATCCATATTTTAAATATAGCTTCTGTAAATCCAAAAACACAATTAAAACTAGTACCGTCTCAGTGAAAAGTCTTCTTTGACCTTTAAAACATATAGTAAAGGACAAAAACCCCAGACGTATTCTGTCACAAAATGGAACGCTGCAATTGAAAATGGTTGCGCAATGTTTCCCATTTAGGTCAGTGGAAGCAAGTCTGCCTTGATAATATGTAAAGTTTTAATGTCGCTCCACCAAAAATATAGATTCGAATCAACCCAAATTCTAGCGACCCTACTTTCAAGGTGGCTGAACATAAGGCCACAGATGGCCCACAAAATATTTCGAAAATCTGCTTAGGACGTGAATCAGATGATTAAATTTCATGCACGATCTCCGTCTGTTAATATAAGGTTTTAACTATCCGCAATAGGTACAGGGAGAAAACAAATTTAATAAAATAATATGATAATTATTGAACACGTTACCCATAAAATAGTTTTTTTTAACTTTTTTGAAAGTATTATAATGGTGATTAGATTCTGCATTTATTCTTCTTTCTTTCTTTCATTCGCTACTCATTGATTGAACCTTAATATTTAATATGTGCTCCTTTTAATATCTTAAATCCATACTGGACGTTAATCTTTTAATCTCATATAATCTGACAGACGATTGGTAGCTGACAGATTAATGGTTTCACTTATATTTATTGTCTATATTGCACTATATTTTATGTTATAATTGTCATTCGAACCGACCAACTTTGCTATTTGACAACAGTATATGGTCACATATCTTCACAGAATCCCCTAGTATCTGAATGGGACACCATATCTGATTGCCATTATTCGAGAATCACAATAAAGTATTTTAATGTTATGTTTTTAGTTTTATACTGTTCATATGTACCACTAGACTTCCTATGGATAATCATTTAGCCCTAACCACACTTCTGGTAGTTCATTTCACCTAATGAAATGCTGGCGTGTAATTCCATGTTTGGTCGCTCTAATAAAGTAAGATAAATATGGTCCAAACATTATGGTACTCTAATACGCGAAGCAACGATTTTCTTGCTCAGTAAAAGGTAACTGATACCACTTTCTATAAAGTAGGTAATTAACTGTCTTATTTAACAGCTGATCTTATTTTACAATGATCGATGTATTCCTCAAAGTCTTTCACTTAACTCCAGTCTGCGATCTCCTTCTCGTATATATATATATATATATATACATGTATATTCCAAATACTTATCCATCTATAAAATCATCCGTGTTTTAAAGTACCGTGGTTCCATTCAAATCTAAAGACTTTTTTAAAAAACAATTTAAAAGCCGACATCTATAATATGTTGTGCTTGTAATGATGATAAAACTATGTAGAAAACCCATAAGAAAAACACAGCAACAGCTGAAATGATCTTTGGTACTTTCGGCCCACCCAGCTCCGCCTTTCCAAACACGGATAAGTATCTTCTTAACATCAGAATAACCAGGGCAAATACAGCACACGACGTGTACAGAACCACACTAAAACCAAGCGAACCTGTAGGAACATGAAACTTTTTACCCTAGAAACAAAAAAAAAAAGACATAAGAAGTTGATTACCCCCTCCCCCACCTCCCAAAACATAATGCAGGTTGCATACATTTCTCTGGGTTTTTTTTTGTTGTCTTGTCAGACAATGCTAGTGCGCACAATACACGGGGGAGCAGAATCAAATTGGAATCAAAGGTCACAGTCAGCAACATCAAATCAATTTAATACACATAATTTATTTCAAATATTAGTTTGGATATAAATTTGCGAGTGTACAAGACTATAAAATTCCTTAATGTTTCTTAGCAGTCGAATTCAAGATCACGATTCTATGTGTATTTGGGTTTTTTTTTTGATGAACCAGACCTTCCACACGTGCATATTTCAATGAATAATTGTTGAAATTAAAGAGATTCGGCGATTGAAATTGTTTCAATACAAAATAATGAATAAAATATAAAGTATATTTATATAAAACAACAGACAGCTTCATATCTATATATACCTTGATCTTCCAGTATATTGTAGCTATCAACCACGGAAGTCCCATGCCCAGGAATACGTTGACTGAATTACTGCCGTTGATGTTACCGACTGAACTATCGGCATATATTTCATTTATAGCAGCTTGTTTACTTGCAAATGTATCCGGCATACTAGTGCCCAAGGCAACAAGAGTAATAGCGGTTATTGTATTTGATAAACCAATCAAACAACCGAATACTGAGGCAAGGTCACTTATTATAGCAGTAAGGAAACCAATCATCGCTAATGAAAGGAAGAATGTTAACCAGCCTCCCCCAATACTTGGTGGTGGAATAAAAGCAAATACAACCTGAAAAAAAACCGGACCATATTATTATTAAATATTCCAATACATTAGAGAATATCGAGAACGTAGATGATGAAAACTGTACATTACACAACGTAGTCTAACGTATTTAGAAATAATATATACCATACACTGTGGTGAACAATCATCTTACCTTCCAGAAGAAAGTCATAAAGTGCATGATGTAATCTAAGACTGTTGTATTTTCAGCATCTCCACCATTTACATTAAAGGCATCGTGAAACTGTTCAGCCCATGATGAAGTGTCTAATCTTAAACCATCTAGATTTTTCTTCGTTTTATTGGCAATTCTAGAAACCATATTGTTAAATTCTGAAAGGAAATAACATATCATAATATACCTATAAGCAGTATTTATATTCAATAGAATTGTGACCTGGTATATATGCAGGGTCGTCTTAACAGCAATATAGCCCCCACCCCCCTTCCAGAAAAAGCAGTATACCGGTGTTAACACCTACACAACAACTCATAGGTAGAAAATTTATTGTATTTGTACTTTCAATAAAATCAGTGTTTACACATAAAGAACATGATGATCGACAAAGATTAATCAACACAAACGTTTGAACAAGGTTGAACAAAATAACACGAACCTTGAAAAACACAACCGGCGGTTGCCAGGCAAGATACGACCACATTTTGCAAGGGATAGCTATAGAACAAGCTAAAAAAAGCGATTTTTTTCATACAATTAGGGGCCATAATCCAGGAAGTTACGCGAATATCGAAATTCACTGAGATATTAGGGGCATACATATATATTTTAAGTTTCATCAAAATCGGATAAAAATTGTGACTTTTAGAATCTAGAGTCCACAACCTTGATATTACACGCTTTTACACTATTTGCGTACAAGGGGCGGTTATTTTGTTCGGCAGTTTTGGCCCGATTTTCACGCAATTTGAACTCAAGAATCATTAGGAAGTAACAATGGTGTATTCAAACGTTTATTTTTTAATTCATACAACCAAGGGCCATAATTCAGAATGTTTCGATCCGATATGCGTGAATATCGAAATGAACTAAGATCTTTGGTTATAAAAATGTATTTCAAGTTTCATCAAAATCGGATCAAAATTGTGGCCTCTAGAGAGTCCATAACCTTGATATTATATACTTTTACACTATTTGCGTACAAGGGGCGGCCATATTGTCCGGCAGTTTTGGCCCGATTTTCACGAAATTCGAACTCAACCATCATTAGGGTGTAACGGTGATGTATTCAAACGTTTTTTTTTAAACCGGATAAAAATTGTTACCTCTAGGCACCACAAGCTAAAAGCGCGATCCATTTTTCGTACAATCAAGGGCCATAATTCAGGAAGTGACGATCCGATATGGGTTATAAACATGCATTTCAATTTTCATCAAAATCAGCTGAAGTTTCGATCCGATACAATCATGCCAATATCGAAAAGAACCGAGATCTCCTGGAGATAAACCTATATTTCAAGTTTCCTCAAAATCGGATAAGAATTGTGACCTGTAGAGTGTCCACAAACAAATTGTGGACGGACAGACGGACGGACGTCCGGTAGGATAGAAGCGACGACAATATACGTCCACATGAATGATACTTAATTTGTAAACCTTGGCTGACGGAGATGGCACAGTATGAAATTACTATGATTACAACATACACAAATTATAAGCGCTCAATGGTTGGCCGTGTCAGCTTGTCCGTGCGTTAAGACGGCCCTGCTTATAGGTTTAGTTCGTTCCGTTTTAGGTTTGGGTTGACTTCATCCAAGCAAAGCACATATGTATACTTTATAATATACATTAATTTTAAATTCTTTATACTTATACTATATATCTGGTATATTTTAAAATTTAAAAAAAAAGAAAGAAAAATACAACCAAATATTGAAATATTAAATAAATACGTAGTGTATTAAATACTGTTTTAAAAGTTGGTTATACCTTCGTCATTTATTATGGTTACTATGGTTTTAGCTATTTTACCGATTTCCGCACCACCTGTTGGCCCAGATAACTCTACTTGGAAATTAGGTTCATGTTCAGAAGCCTGGAGAAAAAATTTAACAACAAAAAAATTAGTATTTCCATATCTTATTGATAATTGTCTTCAAAACACAGGCGGGTTGTGTTCACTATACTATGTGTTCTACTCAAAGCTGTATTAACTTAATCTTCGTGTCTCATAAACCATTGAAATTGGTATTAAAACATTACTTACTCAAATTATTGATTTCAGCGCGAAAAAACTTATCATTTGACAACTGCTGAGATTATCGTTCTACAAAATAGAATAACCGTGGAAGAAAAGTTAAACAACTTCATCACTGGTGTATTTCTTACCATCATTTTATTAATCTGTATAGGGAGAACTTTACTAGTTTCGCCATGTTTAAATCGAATTTTACCGTCTCCACCCATATATTCGACTCCATTCTTTGCGCTTAAATCTTTAGTTTTCCAGGAGACGCATACCTCTCCATCGGCGCCATTTACACGGTTTATATTTAACATTACTTTATCTGCACTTTCTTTTATTATATAACTTGGTTTAGAAAACTCGAACTTTCCTGGGTCTGAAATCAAAGCATATGTTCTTTTACCACACACATATCGCTCAAGGTCCTTTCTTTTGGCATCATGTTATTTTAGGTATGATTTACGAGCTATTAATTGTTCTCGATGTTATAGCTCTTGATTTCGAAAACAATAGTTGGGCCTTTTAATTGAGCAGTTCGATTTTCTTACATATTATAAGGGTTACTAATATTGTTCTAATGCAACTGTTAGTATTTTCTAAAGTAATATTTATAAATCATTTAGAATTTTCGCACTGCTTTTTACTGTGTGCCACGTTATTTCCCAAATTGGCGGCAAACAGACACCTTACGTTTAAAGTAGATGCCAAAATTCAGTGTTTAAAAATGGTTAACATCGCGTGATAATCGTGACAGAATAAGTTCACCTACCATCATCGTTGACTATTGTGACTTGGTTGATGGAGACTTTACCCAAAGATGCAGCCGAATCTTGTCCATCTTCTAGAAATAGCTTGACAAAAAAGAATTCATCCGGTTCCCATACGTCATCGTCTATAATCTCTATAAATATCTCTTTTAACGTTTCTTTGGGTTTAAACGTAAGCTTTTGTTTGATAGGTTTATAGTCATTACCTGCTTCAGCTGAACCGTCAATAGTTTCAACACTGTAAAAGGGCAATCAACTGTCAGTTCTTGTTAATTAATTTAACATGGGCTATTAGCGATAAATGTTACATTTTCGTGACGAAGAAGAATAAGCCCACTCTCATTTCATTGTATATGTCTGATTTAAGAAAAGACTACAGTTAATGTAAAAATTATCAAATGATTTAGCAGGTGCTGCACGTTATAAAATTACACGATAGTCAACTCTTAGCACTGAAAAAACAATTCTATTTGAGAAATTAACAGGGAATATTCTTGGGTGTGATTTTACCGATCACCTATATAATCTCGGAATTACCGTTATCTAGATCCTTGATATGGCAATTCATCACACCACACTGTGATTGTAGAGATGCTATTACCGAATCTCCATATACACATTCTAACACAACTTAATCAACCCTAACAAACAGGGCATGTGTTAACGAATGTGAAGCCCTGAGACATAAGGGGTCGGGTGTCGAGGGAAGTTGTTTACCACCAGGCGGGAGAAAAGTTTTGAATTCCGGCATATGTTAGCAGATTTTTCGAATGTGAAGGTCCTGTGCTTTGAGTTATAATTGTGATTTTTACCTAGCCAAGCTATGCCCCCTCTTTCAAACAGTACCCAAAGTGCGTGTACCTATCTATTATTTTTATTATCTCGAATGATACTTTTACCCACCTTACTGTTACTTCAGAGTTGGTATTACCAAATCTTCGTATACCAATTCTAACACTACCTTCACTCTCTAATACAGCACAAGATGAAGCTGTAAACTCTATCACAGCCTTTTTACCACCATCACTTAATTTCTCTAATTCTTCTGGTCCATGGCGACCAGAACCATCTGTCGGTTGTACATGCTCGTAAATCTATAACCAAAACGTTGACATTAAGAAAACAGCATCTATATATACGGTAAAGCAAATTAGGCCACCTTCCAGGTCAACATTATTCCAGTATAATAGTTGGCCAAAACGGTTTGTGTGAGACTTGATGTTGCTATTTACAAGCATTAAAAGATAGGGGCAACATCAATGTGCTGATGTCCTTAAATCTGAAATAGCATACTACTACTTGGTTTACGTTAACATCAGAAATAAAAAGGGGTCTGGTGTTTTATTTTCTGTTTAACCAGGGATAATGAAGACTGGTACATGCCATGCAGCGTGCTGTGGTGGAAATTTTCACCTGGCAAAGAGAGAGAGAGAGAGAGAGAGAGAGAGAGAGAGAGAGAGAGAGAGGGGGGGGGGTGTTTCGGAACTAACGAGGTCGTTTCGGAACTAACATATGGTTGAATTCTTTTTTAATAATAGGGGTATTTTGCACCGACAGAAAATCGAAAACACGCCACTTGACTCAGGCGTTAACCCCTGAAGATTAGCAAGTAAGCGCCTTATTCACTCCCTTTTAATATCAGATACAAAGTTTGAAATTAGAATAATAACACAACAGTGCACATAATCACAGGTATTTATAAGATATACACATATAACACAAAAATATACCAACATTATATAGTATGAAAATATACCAATTATATAATAACAAGCGGTTGCCAATCAAGATGCACTCACATTTTGCAAGAGATGGACAGATAACAAGTTCAAAACAGCGATTTTTCATACAATCAGGGGCCATAATCCAGGAAATTACGGTCCGATACGCGCGAATTTTGACAGGAACCGAGATTCTTGGGATATAAACATATATTTTAAGTTTAATCAAAATCGGATACAAGTTGTGACCTCTGGAGTATCCACAAGCTAAAAAAGTGATTTTTCGCACAATGAGGGGCCATAATCCATGAAGTTACGACCCGATACATGCCAATAGGGAAAAGAACCGAGATCTTTTTCAAGTTTCGTCAAAATCGGATAATAATTGTGACCTGTAGGGTGCCCACAAACAAATTGTGGTTTGACGGACAGGGGCGACGACAATAATACGTTCGCATGAAAATGTGGGCGTATAGAAAACACATATACAATGATTATTTCACGACTTGGCGTTAGTATAATACACTCTTCATATATATATATAATATTTTACTAGATAAGAAATTAAATCTGAAGACACACTTTTTAAAAAAAAAAAAATATTTATGATACTTGCTGACGCCTTATTTGATAGAAAATACTTAGTTTATTGAACGTATTTTATTTTGCGTAACCATGGACGTTATTTTATACATGGAAATGTTATTTACCGTATCAATAAAACAAATATGGCGTCAACATAAGTTTGAAAATAAAAGAAATTTTTTTATAAATAGATATAATACAAGTTCATGCTACACATACTTACGGCGTAAATCATTTGTCTATGCTAAGGATATGAAAGTGAGTTTAACAGAACATAACAAAACGTGCTTCTAAAATAGGCCAAAATAGTGATTACATGATATGTTGGAACAAATTGCTAAAATGTGCTTAAAATGTGCCTAAATGTTTCAGAATAGATGTCTAAAAAGGACCAATAACGTGCTTAATTCATTGATGGAAAATATAATTATCTAAAAAGTGCTTAACAGATCTATGGCTAGTAATGCACAAAAATAACAGTTATAATTTTCTAGAAATTTATAGATCATTTACTTGAACATCCCACCAGGTGAATATGCCATGAAAAGTTAAACTAAAATTACTGATGGTTAAGCACTAAACCCACTGCACAAATTTTAGTACTTGACCAATGAAATGGTTGCATTCGTAATATATATTGAAAGTTTTCTTGTTGGAGTCGATGGGTATTTGTTCTAAGTCGGAGTGACAAAACTAATGTTTGCTACGGGATTACATGCACTCTAGTTTTCAAAACAGATATAATGGTGGCTTACCTCTTTCATGGTTTTACTAACGTTAGGAACAAGTTTATGCCCACCAGTCAACAATCTGGTAGCATTAACACGATACCATAGAGAACTATGGTGTTGACTGGCAGCCATTTTAGCTGAAACAATTTTAGCAGCCGCATCTTCGGATAAACTGTGATCCTTCTCAACTTCCTGTCAATAAAAGGCCTCGTAAAAAATAAAACAAAACACAACCCGAAAGATCAGTATAATAAAATTTCTAGTCAATTTTCGGGAATGGTGATATATATTTGGATTTGATAAAATTTGTCCATACATAAGACTACTGCCCAAAGATGAAATGTTAATTGCTCTAAAAATGCTGCCAGAAAAATCGCACCGCCTTCACTGATGATTCAATTAACCTTTATGTTTTAAAGTAATTATAAAAATAACTGGCACTAATAAGACATAATGTCAATTACCCAATTTTGGTGCGTTCGGGTAGTATGAATTTGGTAAGATTGGGTCTATATATGGATATTATAGACTTTCTTCACAAAATTTTGTTTTGAAATTAACAAGCACCCTTCTCTTAAAAAAAACCACAAAATGTTACTGCTGTACTTTCTTGTTGTTTGCTGTGTGTTTGTGTATGTTATTCTATATTTTATTGCGCAGCTTGGTTGTACTAGTATGTCATAGTTTAGAAGAAATGCCAGCATAATGATATCTTTTGTTTATTAAACACTTCTACCCCGTCTCTAATGACATCACATGGATTTTCTTGCCAGCGAACATGCCAATTATTTGCATGTCATTGAACTTATTTATAACAACTAATGAGCTGGGGAGTTATCTTTTGACAGGCCCCCGTTCTGCATCACTGACAAGTGGGAAGTACGCCGGAAAATCCCAATGAACTTTCTCGGTCAGCACAGGTATCGAAAAGGGGACCTCCCAAGTTCTTACTCACTGAGCCACCTTGGCTCCCGATAACATACTAATTATACTGATATTATAACTTACTCGAGCAACTTCTATAATATCAGCCGACCCTGTTATTCCAGGTTTCATTTGACTAACACTATCTAAATCTGAAATATATAATAAAATAGGCAAGATAAATGTGAAATATACAATAGACTTTCTGGCGCAATATAGCCCGGTTGATCCTGACGTGCCATAAAACAACATTTCATTTCATTTTTACAATAGACTTATACAACCTAAAACTGTCTGCATTCAATCAAACATTTTCTGATTCCTTCAAAATTTAAGCAATTTTTTCATCAGAAACTAACATAAAATTATAATCTATATAGTCTCCCTACGGGTCCTGGATATCTTACTAATACTGTCTAAAGTATACCACTTTATAATTTTATGAACCACCGGGAACATAGGACACATCCCATGTTCTAAATCGAATAACGGACATATCAATTAAAACACATTATAAAGTTTATCTAATACATTCACCATTGCAGAATAATAGAAACTATATATCAATCTTTTACTCCTTATCACTTGCCCTCTATAGTCCAACCCTGTTATTTATCATGCAAGTTTCAGATGCGCAATTACAATGAAACAATGAAAACGATTTTATGTTTTAAAACAGATCGGTGAACAAGTTATTTGTATTTCAATCTTATATTTTCTCTTGTAATATGTATTGTATTTCGTTGTACTCTTGTGTTATTTTTTCTGTTTGGGTTTAGTTCATCATTTCCCCCGCATTACTGACTAGTAGGCTTCGAATAAAGTAAAATAACAAGTCTGTTAATGATAATAAGCTATAACCCTGAAATGTGTCTAATTTCAGATATGTGACCAACACCCAGATTTCCAATATGGTCATGATTCTACTTATTTATCTGCAACACAGTAACATGTGAAAATTGATTAACCGTCATATTGTAATATGATGTAATATGATCCATAAATAATGTCTACCGTGTTTAATTCGAGTTTAAATACCACGACTTTATTAATTTGATCCATACGTGACTATTATAATAAACTATTATAATTTCATAATGTAATACGGTAATTTATTATGGAAGAAGTAGCATAATCATGCTGAAAATAAGAAAAAACTAGAACTTCTAAAGAGTAGTGGCGTGTTTCGGAATGTCACGTAACGTCACTCCTTTTCACGTCAACATTCAAGTTACACCATGAATTATTGAGTATAGTAACATTCAATATCTATTAAAGTGGAAAAACTCTTGATAAACCCGGAAGTTATACTTCATGACAGAACTTTTTTATATTGTTAGTAGACATCAGGGTCATAATACATACAAAAGCCAAGGGTGATGGAATGGTTAGGTCACCATCTAAGTCGAAATGAAATCAAATGAAATGGGGTTTATCGTCCTACTGTTCTGCTCCGAACTGGGCTAATGAAGACGGGCATACACCATACAGTGTGCTATGAGGGACATTTTCCCCGGACAGCGGCACCACGGCCTACTCTTATATCGAATTCTAACTGTCGAGGGATCTTTACGTGCACGACAATATGTACACGGGACCTTGGTTTTTCGTACCATCCGAACGACTAGACAACTGCCCTTGTCAGGCCCTCCGTCCTGCATCACAAAGAGGAAACCACGCCGGAAAATCTGGATGAACTTTCTAGGCCAACATGTAAGTCGGACAAAATTAAAAGTGAAACCGGAAGTAAACAAAATCGGAATTAAAAAAAAACGGCTCCCTAAGAAGTGTTCCCATTTGGAGTAGGTTCAATACAAAAAAAAGTATTCGAAAATCGGAATTAAAATGGCGGCTGAATATCGATTTGAATGTTTTTTTTTTGTAAAATCCAATATGGCGGTCAAGCGGTTGAAAATGTTATCGAACAAGGTCTTTGAAAATGAAAGATAATTTCTGGGGCTAACACCACCATATGTCCTTTTTAGGTATATTTTTAAATTGGAGAGAACTATTTATGTTCGGGAAAAATCGGAAGGCCTCGGTAATTTCCGGATGTTTCCGGAAGCCGTCACAATTTTTTTAATATGCCATTTTGAAGGCATCGATGTGTTCCTTATATCTACCAAATTTCAACTTGATACATCAAATAGAGATGGAGATACGCCAAGTTGAATGTCAAAAGAAATGATAAAGAACACTTTCGCAAACCTTTGATGCTTATATTAATCGAACGAACTTCGAATTTCGAAAAACCGTCAGTCAGAGCCCATATGGGATTCGTCCAAAGAATCCAAAAATGAAAACCCGAAGAAGATCCATTGAGAAATAACCGAGATATGGGCAATCTGAGATTGTTTTTGTCCCATCCGTAAAACACTTCCTGTTTGTCATGAATGGCCCAATTTATATTTAATAAATAGATCCACGGAGATCAACAACATCTACGTTGTCAGAATGTTTGTATCATGCGCAGTCTTGGTTGCAGAAACTGACTAAATTCCCCTCCCCCTCCTTCCCACTTATAATAAAAACACTTTCAGAAACAATATGGACAAAGGAACCGGGAGTGCACAATTAAAGTGATGTCACCCCTCCTATTAAGAAAATCAATGTAATAACTTTAAATAATCAAAATAATCTTACATTCACCTTAAACATGCATTATGTAAGATTTAAATAAAGAGCTGGCAGTTCTCGTTATTAATATATAGTTAAAAATAGATAATGAAAAGGGGATATGTTGTAAATTCCAGTCAAATTACTTCACTCTCAGCAGAGTTATTGTAGTTGTAGTCTCGATTTTCATTGCTACTGTTGTGTCTCGGTTATCCACTTTTTAATTAAATCACTAACTAGCAATCGTGTTTAAATCGGATGAAAATCAAAAGCACCGACTGATCTAGAGCGTTGATTATGAGCCTGGTATGGGAATAAATGATAATTAATTATTTATATAACATTTGAGGCCAACATTTTATTTCAATAATTCTAGCGCGCGTATACATCTTTAGCAGTGGGAGAAAAAAGGAGGACGAGGTACGGCAGGCAACCCTACTTACTCCTACTCACGTACACGTGAGGGATCGAAATCACGCCAGCGCCTTTATAACAAAATATTAGTACTTTAGTACAAAATGTTTTCTAGATATACACACATACAGACGACTGTAAATATGTGGAATTTCAAGGTTCTGCATTAATGAAAATATTTATTTCTCCATATCTAAGTTGCTTTTATGCGATCAACAAAAGTCGGTTGTGGTGAACGGTGTGTATGGCAACAAACAAAATATAATCATTTCCTTATAAACAACAAAGTTATCAGTATCGAATAACTAGATCTCTTCTATTGATTTTTACTCTGTTTCATGTTGTGGACTTTGATAATTAATAATAGCTCTTATTCAATTATACCTAGGCATTGGCCCGATAAATTTTATGGCTTATTATTCGATTCATGTTCAAAAATGTATTAAGTTTTATCTAAAATCTATAACAACCCTTTTATCATTTTATAAATTCCGTGTTAAACTTAATGTTTTCATTAAAAACACATTATGTAAGAGCTGACCATTCTTACTATATTAGCTCAAAAAAAGATAATGTAAAATGAAAATATTGAAACTTTCATTCACTGTTTGTAGTTTTGACAAGATGTGTGCATAGTGGTAAAAAGGGCACTGGTATATTCGAGACTTAGCCTTGCTTTCCCATTTTGAAATTAAATCTTTAAATAGCGAGCCGTTCTAATCTAGTTAAAATCTCGAGTATCCAATGCCATCGAGAGTTGATTATGGTCTTGTTTTATTAATAAATGTCTAATTTATAGTTTATATAACATTTCAGACCCAAATTAATTATGAATTAAAATGTCCTTCTACTAGTTTCGTGTCTGCTCTCAAACTGAGCTAGTTGTAGACAAACAGCGTAAGTTTGGTATGGGAAATGAGTGTCGAATTAATAGAATCCAAGATGGCTGCTTGACATGCGTTCGTCTCTTCTCAAGAACATAACTACGCTTGGTGATGTTGGTGTTGTTACTTTACCCGACTAACTTCCTTTGCTTCAAACTTCCTAAGAAGCTACACAACTTGCATACTCCTCGCAGTGTTTCGTTTGATTAGAGTTAATCACACTTAACACTGCTGTAAAGGAAGCAAAGTTCTGTTTCAAATTATGATTGGTCAATAGTCCGATTAACAACCAATGGCTAACTGCGTACCAATATCATTACGCTTTAAACAGAGCTCCAAATTAGACCAAATATGTTTACGTAACGTTACGTCATGACTCACGATTTTATTATGCCCAATGCAGAATATTGCAGAAAAACCTAATTGCGTGACAAACGAGGCTATCAGTACGGATACAATGCAAACAATACTCTATGGAGACGAACAATAATTTCACCGTTTTTAATACCTTAAATCACTGTCCAAAGTTTTAGGGAAGACCCACAGATTAAACGAAGGGCTGTCATGTTGCTATACTGGGGATAGATTTGATTGAACGGGCAGAATAGACACACTCCCCCAAAAGCTAAAGTACTAGAAGCCAGTGCAGCAATGACCAAAAGAGGGATTTCTCGGGCCGTTGCTTCAGGAATATGCACGACTTGTTGAAATACCAATTCTGCGGGAGGTTTTGAAGTAAGAAGGTCACTGACTTGTTGATTACTTCATTAATGACACCATATTCCCGAAGCTCGTATTAACAGACATTATCAGTTCATTAACTATGATCATGTCCAGATGGCCATTACGGATGATTGTTTTGATGGATAATGCCATTGATGTGCTTGCCGAGCTGTCAAAACATTAATAAAGGCTATGATGTTTTTAGTTCTTACTTTTATCAAATGATTAAGATTTTCGTGGCGTCCCCTTGCCAGTTGTGTAGGACGGGGTGGGTGCTGGCAAGGAACAGCGTCATTTGGATTGGACGAAAAACCGAAGTCCTGTCTACACATTGGCATGCACGTACAAAAATCCTTGACACGTACAACCGGGGATTCGAAACCACGCCAGTTGACTCAATGACAGGCCTTATGATACAGCACGCACGTGCTAACCATTCGGCCCCCTCCCCTTCGAGGAGGGACCTCCCCAGAAAATTTATAAAATTCAGAGCTGAAAATCGGCATCTGTGGACTATTCTGGCGCAATTTACAAAGGAATTTATTTGGCTATGCGCAGCTTTTT